GTCCTTTTCGTCTCTTTTTGACTATTATACCCTTATATTAAAATAAAACAAACACAAAAAGAAAATAAAAATAAAGAATGAATTGTAACTATAGCCCAAACTTTTTAAAAAGTACAAATAACCCACCAAATTTCACATTTCCCAAAAATCACCTTTGCCACCATGTCCACCGGATACTGTCACCACCGACCTCTCTAAACTGCCCTCTTTAAGTGACTGTCAACACGCCAAAAAGTTGTTGAATTTGCCATCAACAAAAATCTTCATACATACACAAACTGAATTTGAAATCCCATGCAATACTTAAATAAATCTTGATGACGAAATTTGATAGAAATGAGGAAACTAATGATAGTGCAGAACCATAGAAGTGGCGGTGGTTTTTCTTCTCCGCCACTGCAGTTGTCATTTTCCGATGACAATTGTGACGCAGATGAGCGATTTCTTCCACCTCTCAACTTTGCCATGGTTAATAATGGCATTTTCAGGTCTGTAAATTCCAAAAGAATAACAGATGCACTGGCTGCGAAGCTGGATCCGAAAATTTCCAATTCCGACACCCTCCGGTCCACCCATGGTCGCGAACCAAATGTGTTGGACTCCTCTCCCCTTGATGCAACTTCCCATATCATGGGTCATGTCCAATTTAAACCAGACCTCAACGATTTCATGGGGGTGAAGTTAGGGTTCTTTGTGAAAAATTTGGGACAAGTGAATCGGATTCATCAGCAAATTGATGATTTTTCAGTAGTTATTGCCCCAAATTCAACAAATACAAATGCAATTGAGGGTATGAAGAATATGGGTAATCATTCAATTGTTTCAATTGGCACTACAAATTCAGATTTCAATTCGACAAACATCCACGTGAACTCATTGTTTCAGCTCCAATTGATGAATCTCTTGATGTTATTGCTCCAAATTCGTGTTGCAAATGGAGAGCCACTGCCTCTGCGTCAAACAGAGGTTCCATTATCAGGTAAAAGTTGTAGAGGGCAGTATGGAGAGGTCGGTGGTGGTAGTATCCTGTGGACGTGGTGGCAAGGGTAAGTTTTGGGAAGAATGTAAAATTTGATGGCTTATTTGCATTTTTTAAAAAGTTTGGACTATAGTTACAATTCATTCTTTATTTTTATTTTCTTTTTGTGTTTGTTTTATTTTAATATAAGGGTATAATAGTCAAAAAGAGACGAAAAGGACGTTTTGCACCAGAAATGGGAAAGGTAGGGACGTTCTGCACACAACCATGCAAAGATAAGGACGTTTTGCGCCAATTACCCATCAGAATAATTTTCACGAAGATTAGTCGATAAAAGGGATTCCACATTTTCTTTTTTTTTGCGCAGAGAAAATACAAATATAGTAATTCGTCTNAGGTCGTTTTGCACCAGAAATGGTAAAGGTAGGGACGTTCTGCACACAACCATGCAATTATAAGGACGTTTTGCGCCAATTACCCATCAGAATAATTTTCACGAAGATTAGTCGATAAAAGGGATTCCACATTTTCTTTTTTTTTGCGCAGAGAAAATACAAATATAGTAATTCGTCTCACATCAAGCTCTAGCCGCGATAATGTACACAAGCAACATACAAAGATTTTACTATAACCATGACCAAAATAGACAGTATATTTGTAAACACAACTCTCTCCGCAGGGTTGAGGTGGTGTTTAGGGATCAAGATGATGTACGCCATTGTAACTCGATTTGAATCTTTCCATTCTTTGAATCTATGAGATGGTATTTCTCGTTGATCCTTTTGTTGTTGACAACATCCGCAAGACTGATATTGACATAGCCCAATGTTTCCTATCAATCACCAAAAACAAAGCGTGTGAAATAGCTAGAAATTCGAGTGTCCAATATAGCCCCCGTTTTGGTGGGCCTTTTTTTTTTTTGCGGAAAAATGTTGTTTTGAATAGTAAATTTTTTGAGAATGTTTGGTTAAAAAGTAGGAAAAAAGTTTTGGGTTTACGTGCAGAACATTTTATTGCATGAATGTTGTTGAAAATGAATATGTAGCAAAAAAAAAGTTCTGGAAAAATGGGAGACAAACAAGGGCATATGCACTCCAAGTGCAAAATGAACGCTCATAAATGTTCTATTGCATTAGACCGTCCTTCCAAACCGATGTAGTAACCAAGGCTCGATACAGAAGGACCAAACTTCTAAAGCTTTTCGCCACTGTTTCTTTATGTCCTACTATTTGCAATATCCATACATTGAGTCGAGCAAAAAATTGTTTTGAGCAATAATTTGTTCAAAACTGTATTGTGCAGTAGTGCGAGAAAATGTGCTCAATATACCTTGGGATGCAGCAGGCCGATTCTTGTTGAGGTGCTGAGTACCTCCACATGTAGCTTCTCCTTCAAAGGAGGTTCTTCCAACATGAATGTGAACTCCTCGTCCCATCTTGGATCTCTGTTTTTCTTTACTTGCTGTAGCAACAAAAGAAACCATATGTACGCATCAAGTTGCGCAAGACACGATTACAAACTATGCTAAGGTTACGGTGGTATTGAAACAAACGGTGGATTGTTATCAGTGAATGAGGAACAAAAGAATTTACTTTATTTTAGCTGCAAATGTTCTGACATTTTAAGATATCTACAATAACTCCATGCCATGCCATGCCATGCCATGCCATGCCATGATTTATATTTTCATTTTAAATTGAACTACTATTTTTCTGAAAAATGTTGAGTGTTATCCAATCCTCCCCACCAAACATGTCACTAATTGTTTGAGGAAATAATCATATGAACATGAACTATAGATTGTCTAGAGTGTGAAGCTTGGTCATTAGTATCAATAAAACAATTTATAACTGCATTACCAACCGATTTAAGAGATCATAAAGAGCTTCTTTAGCAAACTCAAACAAGCACAAGAGAAAAAAGTTAGTTACACACCTTAGTTTTGCGCTCCTCTCCTTTGAAAATGATACGCACATATGGGTTATTGTGGTGCTTTCCTTCAACATCTTGAGCTTCATGGACTATAACCACTAGTACCCCTCCACCGGCTGGTGTGTCTTCAGGAGCCTTTTCTAATGGATTGTCAAGACCATTTGACATATCTCCCTCCTTAAAAGGTTTGTAAGTCAGCTCTACCACAAGCTGCCCACGAAACTTATCATCTTGAGCATCATTTTGATTCTGGTTCTTGAGAAGATCCAGTGTCATGACTTTTGGCTCATCAGGTGTAAGTTCCTTTAGAGGAACTACATTCATGCCCATCTTGTCATGTTTCCCCACCTGAGGAGTAATATAAACAGCTTGAGTCCATAGGAGAAAAACCAGAAAAACAAAAAAAGAAGGAATAAATTCCAACCTGTAATGGGAAACATATACCTGTTCCCAGTCATATACAATAAGCTCCAGAGCTTGCGATTCTGGATCTTTAACAACAATACTAAATTCCTCATTCCACTCAGGGTTCAAATTCTTATGTTTCACTGTAGTCTTCTTTGATGGAGCCTTAGATTCGGTGATTTTCACTTTCACATATGGATCTGATGCACCTAACAAGTCTTTCTTTCTCAGCTTCATTGCCCTCAGAACCTTCACATGGAGAATTCCAACAGGCTTCATCATAGCTCTAAAGGTTCCAAGTGAATTAATTAGTAAGTGTATGAAAGACCCTCCTGGAAGCAAGTTTTTTACAAATATTATCACACACACACACACACACACACACATATATATATATAAACATACTTAGTTGGATCCAGAATTTCCACTTCTAGGGTTTTAGGCCACAGATACATGTTTGCAACTTGATCTTTGATAAGCTCCTGAAGTGATAAGATTCACACAAATGTTAGCATGCATATGATTTGACCAATATCATAATTAAATCGGTTAAAACAGTTGTGGTACGGTAATGTGAAGGAACAAAGATGTATGCCCATAAAACTCATGGAAGCTCATGAAATTCCAGATAACAAGTTTATACCCAAGGATGAGAATTTTTAGCTGAGCTTTAAAAAGTAAAGTTACTTTTAAGTAACTTATTGTCTCCAAACATGATTACTTACTTTATTCTGAAATGTAAATAAAAAATGTTATTGAAAGTAACTCTTACCTTGCTATGAAAAGAAGTAACTTCATTTCAACTTTTACAAATAAAAAATTATTCGTTTTAGAAATTATTTACTTATATGTTAACATTTTAAGCTTAGCCAAACATTCTCTATGAGAAACTGGGGACATAATACGAAAAGTGGACTAGCCTTATCTTTTATCAGCCACACTAAGACGTATATATGCTCAAGTTTTCTGAATTCCTATTCAATGCAGAATAGTTATAATTTTCGATGCATCCAATGTTCCCAACTGAGTCACAGCATTATATCGGAGGAATTGTTGGTCATTTATATTTTATTTTCAATTGCAACGTTTTTCAAGATTAGACATCATAAGCTTTTAAATAGAATTGATTGAAAGGGGATTGTACCTGTACAGACCTGTAAAGGCCAGGAATTGACATAAGATCAGCCCCAACAAGCTTAAGTCCAAAGTCAACATGTGGCTGCAAAAACGGAAGCTATTCAAGCGAAAAATAAACAAGCAGAACTCATGTGCATGCGTTTAAAAGTATTAAAGTATATTAACCGAGTCTTGGAAAACAGCACAATTGATATTCCTACATTCTGTACAAGTGTTAAAAGCATTTCAGTGAATATATATAAACTTGAATTCGATGTGTTCGATGAAAATTATTGCTGCTAAGCTATTAAAAAAAAAAAAACAGTTCCCCAGGATTAAAATATTAAATGTGCCTCACAATTTGATTCTTAAAGAACCATAGCATACCTTCTCCATGAGAGAGACAACAATTTTGGCAAAACAAGGAAAGCTTGGAACAAGGGGCTTTAAGGTGATGCGTGGTTGAGCAAAGATTTGCAAATCCACAACCTGCAACATTTAAATAACAAATTCATATTTTCAATCTAAACCTAAAACTGTGTCAAAATCAAAGATAAAAGTCAGCAATACACTATCTCATAGCATTTAGATGAGCGCACAACCTGAACAGTTGCTTTTAGACCGAATGCTTTAATACCCAATGTGACATTAGGATTCCCTGCCCATTTCAGAGAAGGCTCCATCATCAATTCTCTCTCTTCGGTAACAAAAACCTTCATACCTGCCATGAAAAATTTATATAACAATAAGAAGAGAGTTCTGCATACTCACTGAAACATATTCTCCAGGGCCATAAAAAACATATAACATAAAAATTTCCAGTTCTTTCCAATCTCTCTCATCACTAAAAGACTTCAAAAATCAGAATCTTTTTCATTCTTATACTCTTTCCCCTGTTCCAACTTAGCTATTGTTCTTGAAATCCACTTTATAAGGCCATTGCTAAGAATTGATACATTTCTCTGTGCTTTCTTCTTTCAGTGTCCTTTAGCATGCGAAAATTGTAGCTTCTGTAGGAAGACTGGAATCACTACCATGTGATTCAGGTTTGTGCGTAAAAATAATTCACAATAACCTAAAACACTGCAAAGAAACTTCTCCTTGATACATTAGCTAAGCCTCTAAGGCATGAAAGGGTCAAACCTAGCTCAAGACATTTTTAGCAAAGAGGCATTCATCTATTGCATTAAACTAGTATTAGAAGTATATTTGCAGCTCAAGCACTGTTCTCAGTGTGAGATACTGTCTTATCAGATTTAGCCCCTATTTGGTACCGATTAAAATCTAGAATTTAATCTAAGTCAAAGTCAACAATTCATTTCAACAACATATTTTATAGGTCTCACAACTTTTTAACCACGCATTTTATCATTTTCTATCAAAATTTACTAAAAATTTGATTTTAATTCTTAGCAATAATTTTTCTACAAGCACATTAAAATGCAATGCACTGATGTCTTTTAGCTCGTACAAAGATATTTCTTAATGTACATTTAATGTAAAGACCAAATTCTCAAATGGAGTACAATATAAAACAATAATTTAGCCAAATTAAAAGTAATCACATTACTTACCTTGAAAAGTGGGCGGCAGAGAACCCAGTGTTAATTCTTCAAATTCAACTGATTCAATTTTATATTTTGGAATTTGTTCAGCAATAATGGGATTTGCAATATTTTTGGCCGTCTTGCAAATTGCCTGTGCAATGTTTTAAGCATAAGTTTTTGATGCAGAAAGGCGAAAAATGGAAGTCAAAAATAAGGTTAAAAGTTAATAACAAAGCAACAAAAACAGTACCTTGTCCAGGTAAGGCCACATAACCTCAAGGAACTTGTTAAGCCAGTCAATCTTCACTCCAGCAGATAAAGCAAGGTTAAAAATAAACATTAGACGGCAATCTATAAGAAGAAAAGAGTGCAATAGAAGTGATTAAATAACTAAACACGTACACGGTCATAATCTGGATTTTTTACCCACGGGGGTATTTCATGAAGCAATCGCTGCAAACTTTGAAAGTCTTGCTCAGCCAAAGGACGGATAACAGGATTCTGATCAAGTGAACAGTTAGAAAACGTTATACATGATTTTTGTCTTATTCCAACTTATCGAGTATTTGCTCTCTTCTTTACATGATTATTCCATTCAAAAGCAACTAAGGGATTCCAAAACTAAGAAGATAAAAGAGCAGGAAATTCATGTACTACATCTTTATCTCTTTCTAAGATATGACCTTGAATAAAACATTCTACAGGAAAAGAGTTTTTAAAGTAAAATAGTAGTACATTGCCAGAAACTGGTTAAAGCCATCTTGTCAACTATACGAGAAGTGTAGCTGAATAAGATAGGCATTGTTCAGTGTTTAGCCCTTTGGGTAGGGCATTGTGCTTTTCCCCGACAAAACGAAATAATTATTTGTATTCAATTTCCAGCAAGAAGGCTCATCATCCCTGTTTTCTTTAAGTAATACATAGTTGAGATACTCCATCATAAACATGATGCGTTTGATGTCATTATCTAGTAATGCTGCTCACAGATTGTGTGATCCTTCTTCAGTTAGAATATTTCTCACTAATCGAAAAACAATTCAAAAAAAAAATTAAAATCTCTCCTAGCCATTACTGCAGTATGAAAATGGCAATAACTCAAAATGCTATAAATAGTCATTTCACCATTCATCATTTGACCCATTTCAAACAATAACACATCAAATAAGGTAGATGGCTAGGCTATTATGCTTCTTTAAAAACACTATGCCCTTGTTTGGCTCCAATTTTTTAAAACTCATTTTTTTTTCCCCAAACTCATTTTCAACCAAAATTTATGGAACCACAACTTTTATCAACTTTTCAATCATTTATTTAATCAACTTTTATCAAAATCTACTAAAAATATGATTTTTAAACAAACCAAATGGGGGATATATAAATGGCACAACACCAACTAAATCACTCCTCTTTTCTGCAGCTCCTCAAATGAATTGAAAAAAAACTACATGACAACATTCGATAAGAAAGAACCATGTATACATAGAAATTGACAATGAAGCTATTACATATAAGTTCCACTTCATTTCCCCTTGTCTATTGAAAATCTGCATTAAGATTTGAACATAATCCACAAAAAATGCTAAACAGCCTGACATGATTATTGTATTAGACCCATTTACTAACTTATTACAGGATAATTAAATTCCTGAAATCCCTAAAATCTTAAACCAAATTTACTTTCTTATCCAATTCAGTATAATTAACCAAATGATGCCTCCAACATCAAAACGCACAAAAAATAGAAAATAATATTAGTTCTACAGAAAAACAGACATATTCATTACACATATGATACATCACACATACATATTAATGATCTAACATCGCGTTTCTGTTTGTGTGCGGGACAGAGAGATCACCTTAACATCGCAGGGTTGAAAATAGATGAAAAGGTAGTAACCAATCACCAATCCAGTTGAAATCCCAACTCCGAATCCACAGAAACCCAGTATAGTACTAAAAAAACCCATCTCCGAAAACCCGTTTTAAATTTCAATCAACAATTCTACACTAAAACCAGATAAATTCAATCAACTTCAACCCTATGCACAAACATAAAAAGTCTGAACTCTCAACTATTCAATCAAAAATCTTCTTTATTAAACTTTAGTCATTAGAGATCGACATAGACTACGCCAAGTAATTAAAAGATTCTTTGGATCCATCTTCAGAAATGACGTTTTGTTCTTGAACCCCGTTCCCTTTAATGTCATTTAGGGTATGTCTGACACTCATTTTTGTAAAGAATAAATTCTGGAATAGTGATTGATGGGAAGAATGTGTGGTTGAAAAATAAGAAGAATTTTTGAGTTTATGTGTAATATTGTTTTATTGATAGAATGTTTGGTTGAAATGAAAAAAGAGAAAAAAAATGAGAAAAAGAATAGATGTCAAAAGGGGGTTAGTTGGACATCAGTCACATCACGGACCCCCTGAGTGAGATTCGGGTAACCTGTCCTGAGATTTTTACGGAAGATGACAAAGGGGGCAATGTCCTTTTACAGAAGCCATTATTAATGATTTTGGGCTCATTGGGGCCACCGGACATTTAAATTTTTACGAATTCAAATATCAGAACAAAACTTTATTAACAAAAAATCAGGCATTTCATAATAATTATATATTAAATATTTTCACCCAATTCAATTACAATCCCTAATTTTATTTCATTCTTCCCACTCTTCCTCCACATCTTCTTCATTTCCTTCTCATGCCTTCCTCTCTGTCAGACGTCATCGTCGCCGTCGTCGGAGCACCTGCCGCGGAAACCACTCTGTCGCCACCACTTAAGCAGCACCACGCTGCTTGATGAAGAAATCGAAACCTCTGCAAGCGGAAGTGCATGGACGGCTATCTGAAATCTTCTCTGATTTGGGGCGTTTCCCCGACGATTTTCTATGGCCCATGGTTTGTGCGGTAGCGGCGTTAGTACAGCTTGGAGATGGCGACGCAGTGAACGTTGCTGCCCTGGCTCTGCTTTATTTCTTTTTTTTTTATCATTGGATGTAGTGGTGTCAAGTGGGCGGCCCGCCCAGGCCCCGCACGGAGGCGAACCGGCTCGTAATTCAGCCCATGAACCGAGTAGGCCGAATCACGAGTCGCCGGGACCTGAAACTGGTCCGGGCCGGTTTAAGGAAAACCACCGTTGGCCTGTGTTTTAAAAATAAAGGTTTTGTTATAGGTACATAAGGGGTGCCATAAGAGTTGACATAATAGCCAAATGGCACCTCCACATTGGAGGGTCGGCTGAGCCCACAGTGTAGGCCCAACCGACCCTCCAATGTGGGGGTGCCATTTGGCTATTATGTCAACCCTTATGGCACCCCCTATGTACCTTTATCATTTTCCTATAAATAATAATAAATAAAGCGTCTGCAGCAGCCTGTAGAAAAACGGTCACAAGTCAATTCCTGTGATCGTTTGATTGTTATATTTATTTATTTTTCTTTTTTTTTTCGAAAATTGCAATGTATAGTAACGGTAATGTTTTTTTTTTGTTATAAATTATGGTATTGTGAAATGAAAAAATAGCAAACTTTCACAATCTACAAGTTTGAAATCTCTATTTTCTCATTCGCTCTTAATATTTTCAGCAAGTATTTTTAATATTTAGTATTTTGTGCTTTCTTTTCATTTTATTATTTCAAAAAATTTTGTTAAAGTGTTATGAATTCTCACGATTTTTCTTCAAGAAATATCAATTTACATGATTGTTGTTCTCCAATAAATTTGGAAGATGATAATGATCCAAATATTATATCTTCTCAACAGCGAAGGAATAAAAAACAAACATTTGATGTTTGAAAAATCTTTACAGTAGATGAACAAAAAAAAGAGCAATATGCGCTCTTTGCAGAAACAGTTATGCATGGGTTAAAGGTCAAGGCACCGGCACATTGGGAAAACACAAAGATAAACACATGAATGAAAGATGGCATTTAGATACTAAACAAGCTCAAATTAATTCTTTTACTAATACTAGTGGAACAGTTACTTTTTCTAATTTTTGTTATTCGCATGATCGAATGAGAATTGGAATGTCTGAATTTTTGGCAACAAGCGAGATGCCTTTTACTTTTGTAGAAGATTGATATTTTGAGGAGTTTATGCAAAAATATGTTCAACCCGCTTATCGGTCTGTAAGTAGAAATACTGCTCCCTCAAATATCTTAAAATTATTTCATACAATGATTGAAAAATTAAAAACTGAATTTAACAACTTTGATGGAGTTATGTGTTTACATTTGATTGTTGATCTGGACGTAATCACAATAGTTATGCATGTGTCACTGCACATTTTATTGATAATAATTGATTACTTCACAAAAGAATTACTACTTTTCGCTTACTTGAATATCCACATAATAGAATAAATTTGTGTGAGAATTTATTACAGGTTTTTAATGAATTTAACAAATTATTTAGCATTAATTTTGATAATGCTAGTACAAATACTGCATGCATTGAACTTTTGAAAATGACACTTAATCTCTCGTTTGACTCTAAATTATTTCATATGAGGTGTGTTTGTCATATATATAATTTAATAGTGCAAGATTGTTTAAAATTAATAAAAAGCTATTAACTATATTTCTTGTTCAAATACTAGACAGCAAGAATTTGAAAAAATTTGTAAAAATTTTGGATTGAGAAGAAGAAAATTTATTGATGATATTCCAAATATGTGGAATTCAACATTTCTTATGTTAAAATCGTGTGTTGGTTATACAGATACTATTAATACTTTCGTTAATTCAAAGCAACATCAATTTCATATAGATGATTTTGATTGAAAAATTGCATTTAGAGCATTGCTAGCGGTACATCGCCCCATACATAAGGGTCTACACCCCTCTCACATGGGGGGTGGGATCCGCTCAAATAAAAAAATATTATTTCAATGAGTCTCACCCCTCATGTGAGGGGGTGTAAACGTACAATTCTTGATGTACAACTAAAATAATTCTTGCATTTAAAATCATGAATTATTTGAAACCATTCTATAAGGCAACAAAAACTAGTTCCGGAGTTTATTATCCAACAAGTAATCTTGTGCTTTTACAATTTATAGAAATTGCTAATCAATTTTCAAGTCATAAAGACGATCCATTTTTCTATGATATTGTTTGTACAATGGAGGACAAGTTTTGAAAATATTACGAAAATATGCCAATGGTTTTTTCAATTGCAGCTGTAATGGATCCTCGTATTAATTTTTTTGGAATTCAGTGTGCTATAGACCAACTTTCTGAAACTTTATTTTTCAATATAAGTATTACAAATTAGGAAATAGAATGTTTTATTAATGAAATGTACAATAGTTTTGCTATTAAATATGGTAATAATAAAAATGTTCCTTCTAATACGAGTTCTGCTACAGCTTCTAAACGTAAAAGTTTTTTTTTTCTTTAATAGCCAAGAAACGCAACGTGTCTTTTACTTCATCTACTAGTTCATTTTCAAATGAGAATATTACACCGGCTGAATTAGAAAGATATTATCAATTTGATTACTACAGTTTAATTCCACAAGACGAGGTTGACAACTTAAATATTTTACAATTGTGGAAGTTAAATGAATGGTTATATCCAATATTATCAAAAATGTCTTGGGATCTACTAACAATTCCAGTCTCAATAGTGGCATCAAAGTCTGCTTTTAGTGCAAGTAACAGAGTGCTAGATGAAAGAAGATCAAGATGAAAGAAGATATTTTAGAAGCTCTTATCTACATGAAAGATTTGTTATTTACAGATAGAAGAATGTAAGATAAAGTTGCCGATGATATTGCTCAAGACTTTAAAAATCTTACCATAGATGAATAAAATCTGATTTGTAATGACGAAATTATAGTGAAGTAGGTGTCAGCCAGTTGGGATGTACTTTAACTATAAGTTTATAAATACTTAAAAACTATTTAATTTGTCAAGTTATACAAAATATTGTTCGAAAAATTGTAAGTTTTTATGTTATTGATGTAAAATTTATCGAAAAATAAATCAATGTAAAAAAAAAACTGGCCGAGCTGCCCGAACCAATTACCCAGCCCATGCGGGCTTGCAGTCTGGGCCGACCCGGCCCGAAAAGCCAGCATGGACAATTTTTTTAAAAGCAGGCTGTGCACGGGCTTTTAATGTGCCGGCTTGAACCTCCCGTTTTGACATGTTTAATTGGATGGTGTTTTGTGTGAAGGTGGGATGGTGTTTGTGTGGTGGCAGACTTGATGATTTTGTTGGTGGGGTGGTGGCTTAGCTAGTGGCATCGACGGGGTTGTAGGTGGTGGCGAGTTTGTGGTGGGTGGTGATTGTGGTGTGGTGATGTTTTTGTTGTTGTTGGTGACGGGGATTGTGGTGGGTTTAGGATTTTTTCTGTTGGATCTAGTGGTGACAGTTTTGCTGGTGGTGATGTTGCGGTGGTGGTGGTGGTGCTGTTGTGGTGGTGGCGACGGTTATAAGGTTGGCGTGGGATCTGGTGGTAGCGAGTAGGTGGTAGTTGTTGGTGGCTGGAGATCTGATAGAGTTGATTGTCATGGTTTTTGTTAGCGGTCGATTGGATCTAGTGGCAGCGATTTTGTTGGTGGTGATGTCGTGGTGTTGTGTAGGAGGTGGCGATGGTGATGGCGACTACGGCAGTGTAGGTGGTGGTCGAATGTGACCCACTATTTGGTTACATGTGACCAACTATTTAACCGTGACATTGAAATTCAATAATTTGTGACCAATAAATTTGAAAATACATGACTGATTGATAAATTGTGACTTATAATTTTTTATCCGTAACCAATAAAATGAACCGTGACCTTAAAATCAATAATTTGTGGCCAACAATTTTGAAAATATGTGACTGATTGATAAATTGTGACCTATAATTTTCTTTATCTGTGACAAATAAAATAAAATAAAATGTCACCTATAAAATTTTTGATTTGTGATCTCGAATTAATCTATAACCAATTAATTATTTCATACGTG